CAAGCAACCCACGCGTCCTGAGACCCCCACTTCTACTTATTGCCCCTACCAACTCGTTGCTGTTTCCTTCAATTTACGCCTTCCAAACCCCCCCCGCCTCACCCCCCCCCCCCCGGTTCCTGGTCTGTCTTGCGACCCAGCTGTAGAGCCTCGACCCAAGCCCAGAGACTGATAAAGGTACCGCAACTGATAGCCACAGGGTGCCTCACAGGTAGGACAGCTTTCGTTCACCTCCTTGGGCACATCTACACCCCAACTATTATTCCATGCTTGCCTTGATTATAAATCATTTATCAATTAGAATAATGCATTTCGCTTCTCAAGAGTTGCCTGGGGCGAGCCTTTAGCGCTGTCCGCCCGTCCTTAAGCGGGCTTGGTCGCCATGAAATTAAAAGACCGCAGCATGCGAAAAAATGGAGCACGAGGGAATCGAACCCTCCGCCTCTCGCAGGCTTTTCCACGGTTGGAATGCGAAGCGAGCGCTCTACCGATGAGCTAGAACCCCATCACAGGCGTCGAGCGAGTTTATTTTTCTATACCATTAGCTTAATGCAAATTCCGAAGCGATTCCGTGCTCGCTTAGACAGATTGGACGTCAAAATGGGATGAGGAAAATGCTTTAGATGGGTTGGACTGGCGTGGAATTGGACCCTTTGCTGGTTCCTTGCGCGGCGGCTCATCGTCGGAATGGGGCGTGGAACAGGATCTGCGTTGCCCGAATGTGCGAAAATCATCTACCCTCGCATACTGTGCCGGAGTATATCGCAGCTTTTTGGCCTCTATGAAACGGGGAATAAACGCGTGAGGCTATGCCATTAGCACGCTTTGACGTGAGGAAGGTCCCTGCTGCTCGAGGCTAGCACCGGGCAAGCGAGCATCTTCCCCGAAGAGTATTCCCTTGAGAATTGACTCTAATACCCGCTTGTCAAGCAGAGTAATACATATCTCTTGAAATGCGTCTGAGAGGTGACGCGGTACTTGGGCATACTGAGGACAGATTGGGCCATGTTGCGAGCTGATCACTTCCCGCATCCTGCCCTGAAAATTAATGCCGGCTCAGTCATCTCCGTCACCAAATCTAACTGGAGAGTGTCCATAGGCATATTGAAGAGGCTGTACGAGCGGTCTTTACCCCGCCGCACCCGGAAAACCATGAGTGGCATCCAGCTTCATCCGAAGGGCACCCAGCCAGACCCCGAGACAAGCCATGGCAACGTAGAACCAGCTAATATGCGGAGTACACTCGATTTTGTCACCTAAATACCGGTACCCATTGTTTCCCGGAGGTTTAACGATACGCTGGTGTCCTGCCGCCACATCAAGTGGGATACGCACTGCTCTCCTAATTTGCTCAATGTCACTTTTCTCATCTATGATGCAACCCTCCTGAGAGTGAACTGTTTTCTTGTTTTACGTGGTTTGATGAAATTGGGGTCTCGGAGGCGGCTTTGAGCGGAGTGCAGCGTGTTGCCCATCTATGCTCTGGAACAGAGCCAAGTTGGTACGTAGGCGTGCAGTTTCAAGAGCTCTCAACTTAGCTCTTTTACTGATAACTCAAGTCCAAGAGTAGCTTATATGTCACTTCGAGAGATAGATCCGCGGGTACCCTCCGCGTCCAGTAGAAGCAACATACAGGTCTCGCCTCTTAGCACATGGAAGCGAAGTCAAAACTTAAACCAGGGCCAGTGGACAATTTTACTCTCGAAACGAGAGGCGAAATGCCTTGGATATATCGAACTGCCGTGGAATTGAACTCTCCAAACGCAGTCGGCTTAACGTTGGAAAGGGCTTAGAATATCGGCTGCTTTGTCCTAATGCGAAAGATAATCCTTCTTCGCGCACTATGTCTGAGCCTAGTGTGGTATCTTGATGGCCAGGCAATGTGGCAAGGTTCACTCCGTCATGTCGCTCGCCCGCTGTCCAACGACCGATGCGGTCGGTGGTAGAGCTGGTGAGAGCTGACCGGGGCTCAGTCACCTCCCCATCTGTGCATTCACGACCACAGCGATGTTTCTTGATTAATTAATATAGTCGGACAAGTGATCCCCGCCTCCATGCACCCGAAACCCGCAAGCGGCAATGTCCACGCCAAGACCCCATTTAGCTGCACCCGAATTGAGACGAACCCCGACACCCAAGACATAAATGTAGCCAATACGCCAGAGGCGCTCAATTAGACGAGGCGAACTCCTAATGTCGAGCGCTTCACGGAATTGGCTGATGGGTTGGCGTCTTGCGATGAGTAACAAGCCACACACGTAGATGGGAAGTGGCCACAATATCGTGCCTCCACATCAGAAACGCGGCAGCCCGGACGGTGCAGCAAAGAGCGTAGGGCCGATATCCTGGGAATGCCAAGCGGACACAGCGCTTTGCTTCCCTAGGTCGGCCCGATGTTCGTTTCTCTTTCGCTGGGGGTGATAGTTCCCATGCCATACAGAGCTCACCCTGCGGTACCTTGTCATTGTGGAGGCACTGAATAATGAACGCGAACGCAGCCCATCCTCGCACTGGATCCAAGTTCCCATATAGGTTTTTGGAAGCTGGTTCCGAAAGCCACCATACGACGGTTTTTGTCGTTTCTTAGGGATTGACGCGGTAAGCTGCCCGTGACCGCCGCTTGCGGTTAAAGCTCTTAGCCAACTGTGTAGCAAAGCCCTTGCAGGCGCCTCTTTTGTCCACCTTACTAGCTTCGAGATAGTGGACAGAACCGCACAGGGAAAGCCGATCGGCCTGGGAAGGTAATGACCGGCCCGTCCCAGTACCTGGACCGGGTGAATGTGTCACGCCGCCGGGGACGACGAGGCATAACGAAAAACGAGCAGCAGTTCTTCGGCTTCGGGACATTCGAAGGCGAAAGCTCGTTGGGGACTGTGTGCCCGAGGCCGACGTTCCGGCCGCCTTTGTTGCCGCGGCGCACGCGCCTTGGAGGGACCACACTGGGTGTTGGACAACCAATAGAGCCCTTTGCTTTGGTGTCATGGTCGAGTCCTGGCACCTGATGATGAGATAATAATGTGTTTTTTCTGTTCGGTGAATTTCATGCGGATCGCCAAGAAGTAAGAAGAGGGCAGGGTTGTTGTGGGAACCTTCCCTTTTTTTGAGAAGACCCGGGGAAATGGTGAAACCGTGTTTGGACCGTGTTCCCTCCACACACATCATCCCCAGAGCCTAGTCGTCGTCGACGTCGATGCACAGCAGGGCGAAGACGCTTGCCAGTCCACACTGCAATTCCTGAGTACGAGTGCCGCTATCACGGAAGATGCCTTCCCACACACGCTCGAAGCCGTAGGAAGCGTGCCGGGTCGATTGCGGAACGGTCATATGATTAGTTCAGGGGCATTGCTCGAGGACCCGAGTCCCTCTCAGCCGGGTCCACTTCTTACTCCGATGCTCTAAAGGGGGGGGGGGGGGGGGGGGGGGGGGGGGGGGGGGGGGGGGGGGGGGGGGGGGGGGGGGGGGGGGGGGGGGGGGGGG